CATGTGTCAGGTGATCTCGACCTGTAAGACATGCCCTCTCAGGTACTCATTCCTTTGTCGACCTGTCTTCAGATCCTTCTCCTCAATCACCCAGCCGTCAAGAAATTCCTCAGGCTGCCATAAGCTAGTGTGGCCATTTGACTGCGTCGTCTCCGATTACGGTCATATCAGCCTGGTTAGTTTCGACTCTACTAGGAGTTTATCCGTGAACAGAAGGAAGTTTGAACCTGACTGGCCGCGGGCATCCGACTTCTCGACCGTGATCGGACTCGTGAGCGGCCCGCTCCCGGGCTTCACAGTCCGTGACTGAGCCGCGGCCGCGGCGGCCCTCTCCGATGCCTCTCCGATGCCTTCCGACGAACGGCGGTTCATCCTCACGGTCTGGCAACCCGGCGGCCCTGAGCACGCGGCGCCGGGCCCTGGTCCGGACTCCGGGATCCGATCAGGAGTCACTGAGTCTCCCGGATTGAACCCCCCGGGGCTCCGAGGACACTCGGAGGCTCAGTGACTGACGGTCGAAGCAGTCACAACTGACACCGGGTTGCCTGCCAGTTTGCCGCGAGTACGGTCACGGTCCCCGGGCCGGGCCCGGAGGGCCCGGCGCCGCCACAGGCCCCTCCACGGTCCGGATCCCGGCGGGGCGGGGGCCGCGGTGGCCCCGGCGGCAAGTGCCGTCCGGTACTACAAACTTTCAGGCTTACTAGTCAGGCGGTATGATGGGACTCGGTAGGCGCAGAGGTAGGCGGATCCGGGGGGGTAGAGGGTCCCCTACCGTACTCCCCCGACGTACGGGTGGAGGTACAGACTTGAGACAACCGAAGGGGTCCGATTTAGTTGTGGACCCGTGAAAAAGTAGGCTAAGACCACCCGTACTCTATCATCCATGGAGGTACAAGATAAGGGGAGGGGTCACGGCCAAGGACCTACTACGCCCTGTCGGAATCCAGCTAGGGTCCCTCAGAGGTCTTGGGAGGGGGTGGGGGTCACTGGCACACCTGTACTGTAACAGCAGAAACAGATCCCCTGCAGGGTTGTTCAGGTACCGTACCCTCGAACGGTCTGTTCTAAAGGAAGGGTGGGGGTACTGGTAAGTAGAACCGCCCAGGGCGCGGCAGGGGTAAAATATTGGGGGATGCTGGGGTAGGGTAATTTGAATTATGAAAACATACTTTTGAAACGGGGGTGGGTACTGATACCCGGGGGGGAGGGGGGGTTGGACAGGTGGGGCGCAAGAGGGTCGAGAAAGAATTCCTGGCACAATGTCGCAGCAGGTGAGCGAGTCGATGACGAAAATGCAACAAGCAAGAGAGGAGGAGAAGAGAAAGGGGGGAAAGGAGGAGAGAGTCTCGGAGGATGAGGGAACGGGAGAGAACAAATGAGGAAGGAGGAGAAGAAGAGAGGAGGAGCCTGGGAGGTAGTCAAGAAAGGCCGAGAAGAGAGGAAACGAAAAGAGAAATGAAGTGAGGAAGTCAGGAGAGAAAGAGGGCAGGAAGAGATGAGATGAGGCAACTTGAAACAGAGATGTTCATCAAAGTGTGTCGAACGGATCATTTTGAGCAGAAGGTGGGCATAGGAAAGATTTGGCAGTCGAAAGCTTCATGGCAGAGCAGGAATGAAATCAATTTTCAGATCAGAATGAAATGTCTTCAGTCATAACATGCTTTCATTCACAAGATGTCCTGACTGTTGCATGCAGCAAGGCTTCTATGGACTTCCCGCTGGCTTCCAGGGCGGAGCGATGCCTCAGGGCGTTCCCCAAGGCATGCCGCAGGGGATGCAGGGAATGATGCCGCAGGGGATGCCGCAGGGGATGCAGGGGATGGTCCCTCAAGGCATGCAAGGGATGATGCCGCAGGGCATGCCGCAGCAGGGCATGCCGCAGTACGTGGTGGCAGGAGCTCAACAGTTTGAGCAGGTGCGACTAATCTCCTGTGACGCGAGGTATTTGACAAACCGATCATTGCAGGCGTACCAGAATCCTCAGGCATACATCCAGCAGCTCCCGAATCAGCAAGGGTTCCGACAAGTCGTGCAGGGAGCTGGGATACCCGGGATGATGCCAGTGCAGCAGGGAGGTCAGGGAGCGCCCATGCAGGGAGTGCCGATGCAGTTCCAGCAAGGGTTCGCCCAGATACCCGGCATGCAGGCGGCGCCAGGGCAGTACGCTCAGCAGATGGTGAGAATCGAAGCGAGACGGTAGAGATGCTGACGTCAGAGCAGGGAGGCTACATGGGCGGACAGATGGATCCGTCCAAGGTATCTTGAGGAAGAGAGGATTGAGCTTTCAGAGTGATTGATGCTTCTTGACAGGCACAGCAGTACATTCAGAAGTTGCCTGGACATTATCAGATGTGAACTAGCGTCATGTGCGCGGTTTTTCGCGAGGTTTGAATAGGTTGAGTGAAAGAGTCATGTTGTACGAGATTAAAGCAGCTCATAATTTCAACCCTTGCCTAATGGGCAATGCATGTTTGTGATGTCATGTGCTGCCTTCTTGAGCCGATGGGTTCTCCTCACAATAGCTCCTTGACTTGTACATCGTTCTAGCACACAATCGGAGAGAACGCCCTTAGCCTGCATGCTAGTCACCCTACCGAGCTCATGCCCCTCCACCTTGCACCTGTCGAACAAACCTCGCTCCACACTCAGTGCACCTGTTCAAGCAAGAAAGATGCACAAAGGAAGAGCTGCCGCATGCCGTCAGTCAACGGCCGGGCATGACAGTTGCGCTCACCTTTCATCGGTTCCCGAGATGCCATATGCTGCCTTCTTGCTCCCTGCTTTGTGTTAGGAGGATGAGGGAGGAGAAAGCGGAGGAGGAGAATCGGGAGCAGGAAGGGATACAGGAGGGATGAGCAGGAAGGATGGAAAAGAGAAGAGGGAGCTGCATGACAAGAAGAGGAAGCAGGAAGAGGTGGGGTTAGGGAAGCTGAAACCTTGAAACGAGCCGATAGCACACTTGTAGAAGCTTGCAGTGGCAACTCCTCTCAGCCATATCGCAGTCCCTCCTACACTCCTCAGCCCGCACTTGTCAAACGTCCAGCTCCTGCACGGCAAGTCAGGGTGGCTGATTCGTATGCCAGGAGCAAGACAACGATGAGGTGATGGTGACGGTGGGAGTAGCAGGGGAGTATGTCTCTCTGATCAGCGTCATGTTGGTGAAGGTCCCTGAGCTCTCTTCCTCCAGGTTCCACTCGCCCCAGATGCGTAGGAGGGACACGAAGGGCGGCATCTGCTTGACCCCCTGTTCATGGTCAAGCTCCAACGAGCGGATGGGACTGTTCTTGAGTGACTCCAGCAGCTGCTCGACCCACTGTCTTTCTGCCGTCATCATGAGCGAAGGATCACAACTAGCACGATCAGCTCACGAGCAGGATTTTCAGGCATTCTGCTGCCGAAGTGGCAGACCTCCCGCAACCAGAGAGGCCTGCAAGATGAGGTGAGGAGAGGATCATGCTCTACGGAGGAGCACCTATCCATAGCATACTCGCCATACTCAATCGACAGTGTCTCGTTGGTTTTGGCGAGTGCTGTGATGGAGGAAAGATACAGCAAGTTGAACTGGAGGGAAGGATCAACGCGCACTCCCACGTTGGAGCATTCCCGCAAGTCATACCTGAGACTTCTTAGCCTCCATGATGTCTTCCTCCTCAGGTTGCCTTGAGCCCATCGCGGGGATTTCAGGGATCACGTTTCCCATCAATTTGGTTCCATCCTCCATGAGAATTTCCACAGAGGGCTGCTCAGCGAGTCATTGAGCTCTTGATCTCTCAAGAGAATCAGCCTTCACCTGACTGAAGTTTTGCGCAGCTCCATCGGCATCGGCGTTATGAGCTGACGACTGATGGGAAGAAGGGTCGACGATTTCAGCACGAAATGCTCTCATACGGTCAAAGTCGTCTCCCTCTCCCTCTCCCTCTCCCTCTCCCTCTCCCTCTCCCTCGTCCTCGTCCTCCCTCCCCCAATCCTCCTCTTGCTCCTCTCTCTCCTCTTGCTCGTGCTCGTGCTCTTGTTCTTCCCCCTCCTCGTGCTCCTGCTGGTGCCGGACTGCATCGCCTGGTCGCTCCTTGTGCTCTCCTAGAGCGTTGGATTGCTCGGGACCTTCTCCTCCTCCACGCACTCTCTTGAATAGGACGCCCTCATTGGAAGCATAGAACGTCTCAACCCCATCCACGCTCGTCTTGTGCTTGCCTGCACAGTTGTCGCCTTTTCTTGCCTTCTTGTTCCTGTTTCCGTGCGGTTCAGAAAGATCCAACAATGTAGTAGAAGTAGGAGTAGGAGGAGGAGGAGGAGGAGGAGGAGGAGGAGGAGGAGAGAGAAGGAGAGACAGGAGGAGAGGAGGAGGAGAGGACGATGATGAGGAGGAAGGGAGCATTAGCATCGGAACAAAACTGTTGCTACACCTCGACACAAACTTTTTCCACACTCTCACCTTGTGCTCGAGCGAGGGTTCCACAGCTCCCATGTGAACCCCAGGGAGTCAAGCAACCCTTTCCTGACCACACGCGCACATCAGGTGGAGGGAAGCAGCTCCTCTCCGTACTCCACGGCTCTCACCTCTGCTCCCAAACTTCTCCTGCTCCCTTGTTGCGCCTCTGGCGCATCCAGCTCACCCAAGAGCCAAGTTCTGACCTCCGAGGGACGTTGCAGTGGCCGTGAGCCAACTTGAACCGGAGCAGCTCACTGTACCGCTCGTTCCAGTAGTCATGACGCACTTTGACCCAGCTCCAGTGAAGCCCGAGCTCATCCAGCAGCAGCTCTCTATCCTTCCTCATCGTGTTCCGACGCTTTATCGCCCTCTGCCATGCTACCCAGTTAGACAGCGACAAGTCGTGGAAGCGTTTCTGCGGGACGTTGCAATGACCATGTTGTTGTTTGAACAGGATGAGCTCGCAGTAATGTTGATTCCAGGTTCTCTTGGCGTTGGTTGGTGGCTGATCAGAACAGAAGGAGTCGTGAGAGTACAAGTGACTTGACCCGCTGACTTCGCTCTCGACTTCCATATGCTTCTCCGCGCGGCTGGTCCTCGAGCAACGACCATGCACGTGGCGTTCAGCATGCAGATCTTCACCTGAGCTTGTGGAGAGAGGCGAGACAGGTCTGCTGCTGTAGGCATCCAGAGCAGCGAAGCCAAAAAAACTTGATCCTGCATGCTCTCCTAGGGCCTCTGCCTCTACTTCCCAGCCCACATCAAAGTTCGCATGCATGTGATATTGTGGTGTCTCAGTCTTGCTTCGCAAGCTTAAGATGCGCTGATGGCAAGCCGCTCCTGCTCCTCCTGCTCCTACTGCTCCTCCTGCTCCTACTGCTCCTCCTGATCCTCCTGCTCCTCCTGCTCCTCCTGCCCCTCCCGCCATCCCCAGCGCCACCACCATCAGGCTCAGCCAAGCCATCGGGCGCATCATTTCGGCAGGACCCCCTTGTAAAATGATCCCCTGAATTCTCGAGATCACCCCTTCTCTGAAGAATTAAATTGAGGGTCATCATGGGCCATTAAGTACCCCCTACCCCCTCCATTGGTAGAGATTCTAGCAGTCCGGCAGGGATGCTCGCGTCACCCGTGACTTCTAGGTGAAGATCGTTGAGGTGAACTGAAAACCAGACGCGCAAGGAGAGTAGGAGGAAAGAGGAGGACAGAGGTGGAGAGAGGAGGAGGAGGAGGAGGAGGAGGAGGAGGAGGAGGAGGAGAGAGGAGGAGAGAGTAGGACAGAGACGAGAGAGTAGCAGAGAGAGGATAGAG